ATAGCGTTTTGAACATTGATCACGGAGTGTGATCAGGTCCTTGTCACCCAGTTGCCGATATAAAATCACCCACATTCACAAGCGGGGGTCATGAAAGCAGTCATTGCCTTTTTACTGAATCATCGCTCGACTTTATTTGCAGCGGATTTATCAGTTTCCACTAATTCCTTTCGCCAAACTAGTTACAAGGTCACTAAAGCTGTCTTCTGTCAACCCTTGGGCGAAATTATTAGCAGATGTTTTATAACTTGATGAATCTTCGACCGGATCGATAAACTGGGCTTCGACACTGCTGCCAAGAGGATGCATATTTGGGATCGTATATCCGAGTGACACTTGTGCCCGAAATGTCATTTTTAAGGTTGTACAATGTTGCATTTCAAATGAGAGTTTAGAACATCCGTAGTAGCAATTGGACAATGCTTGGGTACATAAGGCTTGACTTGACTTCGTAAAACACACCGACAAGGAAGAGTTAGGTTATCACTGGAATAGTCAGGCGATACATCGGTGGTCACATTTGTGCATGCAATGACTTAAAACGTCGAAAGCCGTCAACAGTGGCAACTTATTGAAATTCTTCATAATGACAAATATGAAGCAAAGCCGTAGATAAACCAACATTCCTTTATGTTTCTCGGGGCAACGACTCGCGAGGAACTCATCCATGGTGTGTAGTAACATTCGGCATGTCAGCCCATCACCTTCCACGTCGAGCGCTATTTGCACTCCCAGCGAGCGACTGGAAAGTGCCGCGGTGGACAGCCAATCAGGTGGAGAAGGAGCATGAAGAAGGCAACCTCAAGTTTGGCGGCAGTCGGACCAGTCCGTCTTCCAGGTTGGGGACCACGAGATGCCGGATCTCAGTGGTTGGAAACATTGGACGTCATGGCCCGCAACAGACATAAGTGGCGTCAATGTTGTTCTGCCATTAAATCCCCCATTTAATGCATACAAAAAACGCACAAAACAAAAAAATTAAATGGCGTGTGTAAAACCCAAGAAATCGTTTCTATTTTTTAAATCGCAGTTCGTGTTTCTATCTTCTCCACTTTTTTCTTCTGCCATGGTTCTGATGGCACAATGTCTGTTAACAGACTGTGAATATATATACATATATCTGTATAAACAATAGTCACGGTTGCAGTACCCAAAATGACGCATTAGCGAATGGTGTCAGACAGAGAACGGAGCTGTTAGTTAGTTAGTGCTGGCTATCCATCAGCATAGGATCCTCGAGGTTGGAGGAAACAGCCTCGGCGGGCAATATGAGAGATCGAGTAAGAAGGATGTTAGGAGACATTTGCTTGAGCAATGACAACACTCGGATGTTGCTTGGTTCACGGTAACAGCACATTGTATGCATTGCACAAACTCTTAACTAGTCGATAAACTGTGTTGCGCTTATCTTCGGTAATTTTGTTGCGTTTGTAGCATTTTTGAGTAACTTGTGGATATTTCTTACTTATCGCGGACTCGTTGCTAACCAACTTACTTCATATGGTAATTTAGCGAAGAGTAATGCCACCGTATCTGTATGCATTATTGAATTTCTTTTATTTCAGCTTGTCGTTTAAAGTGAATGGCTGTTGCCTGATATCCCTGGTGGTGGCTGCGCTTGATGTGCATGTTGAAAAAGTGCTTACCTGTCCATTACCCACTACCTCGTCCATACTGACTCCAGGAGACAGTTGGTCGTTGCTGGCGTGGACGGGGTGCACGGCCCATGTGGCCGTGCTAGGCTCGAAGAGTGGTTCCATGCAGTCAGTGTGGAGCGGACTACGGTCCAGCCACCGCCTTGTGTGCGATTGATTCCCAAATACAGCGTGTTTGTGTTTGCCTGTGAGTGTGGGCCGGCTCCGTTGATGAAACATGGCTCCCATCCACAAGCCTCCCTGTCTTATTCCTTCGGGTTTACATTGGATATGGGGTATGCGGATGGGACTGTGGGTGGTGCAGCGCAAGCCACCTATGGTTCGTCTGTAGGCGCAGGCATTCTATGGCTAGGCGCAATGACAGGCAAATCCGAAACCGGACGCCGCCAATCATATATATATATATATATATATATATATATATATATATATATACACAACATTTATGGCAACGAATATATACGTGTATATAATGTTTCAATGGTTAATCCTTTGCTGCATGTTGTTCACTTTTTCTTGAGCGATTCCATTGCACTTCCTTCTGGCTCTCTTCGGCTATCTGTTGCCCAGTGTTTTAGACATGTTAGCTGGCGCATGTTGAACCTTGCAATGACGGCGGATGGTACTTAGCGATTCCCATCCTCATTCCCACAGTTCCTTCAACTGGATACAGATAGGAATTTAACGCGGTCCAAGGAGATCTGAGGCCATGTTTTATCACAAGCGGGTGGAAATTGGACGACCGATGACTGTAAACAGCGCCGCAAGCAATAGGTTCGAGGTCAGATCAACCCAAATGAGCGAAACACAATTTCAGTCACTGATTCAACATTTACCTGGGTATAATTAACTAGATCATCATTCGCGCCTATCGACACCTTCACATTCGCAAAACAATTTGCTGTTTCAACATGTAAATAGCTATCACAACTACATCTCATGTTTTGGATCTCAAGAATCAAGTTTAACATTTAATCAAACAGCATCTGTCGCATAACTGCTTATGCAAAACTGATCATGTCTCTTTTGGTGTGCCTCGTGTATCATCGGAAATATACATTTTTATACATATCCGTACACAAAAATCACACTGGTCCAAACGCTACTGATAAGTTTTTACCGTTAGTTACATTTAACGGTTTTTAAAGTTTGCATCCCCTTGAGCATGCATATGTAGGTGTGTATTGCATTGTCGGGAATAGAACATTTATTTATTTATTTCGCAGCGGCAATTGATGTGCTAGTTTACCAATGCTTCTGTTAATCATAGATGAAACCATACGAAGTTCTAGCTTCTTCCCAGGTCTTTTACGATTTCGGCAACGGCATGGGTAGTGCATTGCAAGTCACTGATGATTCCAGTAACTGGAAAATTCCCACTTCATTATCAAGAACACAAGACCGAAGGTAAACAATTGTTTTCGATGATTCATCCTCAGTCCCGTACAATCATATGAGTGAAATAGCAATGGGCCTAAAAGTGGATTCCATCTGATCAAATGAGATTTGATCATGCGCCGTGAAGCTATTCTGTGGGTGTTTGCAGTCCAACATGATGATAGGCAAAAATGGCGACGGAGCCAAGTGCCATACACAACACTGAGACTCAATGTAACACCCGAGGACACTGTTACAAACAAGGTATGACATTAGCTTTGTATAGAACGAGGAATTCTAAACTCATGGAATATACTACGAGAAGGATTAATAGTGGCCGATTCTGTGAAGTGCTTTAAAACACGTATCGACGATTATTTCGGAAGCCTGTGCAATGCAAAGGAAAACATTCTATACCCTGAAATAATGACATCAATACGAATTCCTAACCGAACAAGGAAAGACGGTTAACTGACCAAACACTACCGCTAGCCATTCCCAATTAAATGTTTTTGATTTTTCATAATTCGATAGAGTTGTACAAAAACATGTCATTGTCACGTCTATGGATGTAGGAAGATAAAGACATCGGGGTTTCGGTTACAGTCAGCCGATTGCGAGAGAAAACGTATGATAAAGGTGTAAATTTTGGACTAATTTGGCTGCTGCACTAGTAAAATGCAGAAAACCCTAAAGCGGAACTTGAATAAGTAGCTTCTGTACTTCAAATTTCAATGCAGTGCATGGAGTGCGTCGGATTTCCTTCATCTTAGTTGTTTTCTTTAATTACACGATCAAGAAAGTAGTGCCGAACACGGTCATCAGACTCGCACCTAAAGAGCTGGTGAATGGCTGGATCGGTTGACACATTACCGATTCCCACAATTGTCGAACAACCACCACCCGAAGTGATCGATCGGTTTGTTCCCTTTTGCTAGTCAAATCATCACGGATCAAAACCCAACACACATCCACAGCGGCAGTGTGACACAGACACACGGCTTTAGGGTGGAGGGTTGCATTTTGCATTGCGCCGCAACGCGACCCCACCGGCAAAACGTGTGCAAACAAGAGAAATACTACCAGGACGCCCGTACGAACCGGCGTCGTTCGGGTTACAAGCCAAAAGCAATTTCTGAGATAAGAGCACTGCGCGTTGTAAGTATAAGTAATCCATTCTGATTATGCTTGTTTGTGAAACTCTTCGCATTTGCTGGAGTCAAGTGGGAAGTACCGGGAGCGACCAGTTGACAGAAGGCTTTCCAGCAACGCCATGTGTCGGATGAAAAACGTGCATGGTCTGCCGTAGCTAAGCAATTTGTTCACATATATGCAGTGTGTTGGTACCCGAGAGTGTAACATGCTGCATAGAGCGCTAAAAAGATCCGTCGATTGGGGATGTGATGGAGAGAGACACCGAAGGATTGACTGGACTGGGGTGTGTCGACTTCACGAATGGAGCCTCAATACAGACTACATCAGTAGTGAGAGAACAACCAGAAGTTATGCAATGGCGGTTCCTAAATTCGTCATTTTAATTCTAATGATAATTCTAATCCTATTTGTTACATTAGCTTAGCTGCAAAGCTGTGCTGCACAAAGACGGTGGCCACAAGTTCTATGGGAATTAGGAAGTTGCTTAGCTGGATACGGAGGGAAACGGTATCGGAGAAAATTCACCGATGCGGTGCAAACCTGCGCCAGCCTGACAATCTCAGTGACACAGTTGGTGTCAGAGAAAGGAAAGTGAGAAACATTGGGCTTTGCCAGTGGCTCTCCTCGGGTGCACATGGGTTGATGGATAGATAAGCGGTTGTTGCATTGTGAGTCACACACGGTCCATCTTGGTCAGGGAGTGGGCTCCTCGTGTTACTCGCGATCAGGATAGCAGATTCCAAGAAACCACCACAGTCAGCCACGTGAGGATGCAAAGTGAAAAATACAGAGAGAATATCTTGAGGAACTTACGCTATGAAGGATTGCTGGTTGGTGAAGTGTAAACACATGGGCACATCGATCGCCTGAGTGCTTCTCGGGGAGACTGTCACATTGGGACGATAAGTGAGCTCGTTTAAGACAAGCAAATGATACTTGGAGCTGACCAACACCTCAGTTACGGAGACGGGGACGAAGTTGGGATTCGTCAGGTTGACCGTAGCCTGGAAGATAGAGGGAAGAAAAGTGGAAGGAAAAAACTGAGGATAGCGTTTGAAAATCATCACCATTAGACTTGTGAGGAAGAAGTGGCACGCCGGCTGAGCCACCGTTAAGAGATGGGCATCGTTCTGAAAAGCCACCAGTCAGTTTGTGCCGCAAAAGAATTGTATTATGTAAAATCTATACTATACTAGGAAACCAGATCGTGGTTGAAAAAAGAGGCTAAGCGGGAGGGACAAAGTAATTCACAACACAAACGTCACTGAGGTCGGCTCTCAGCCATGTCAGCAAGTGTATCGAGCCAAATGGGTTCATCGTCTTTCGGAACCCAACCATGCAACCGAGAGGCTCTAACCGACGATAAATTCGAACTAAGGGCTTCCATTCCTCTTGACCAAGCCATCGGCTGGCCACCTCTCCTCGTCTTCCACACACACCTCCCGGGGCGAATATAACGCAAGTCGCGAGAGTCGGTGGGTTCGCATGAGCAAGATGTGGCCCGCCCATCGGAGCCTGGTGCGTGATATCACTGTGCTTAGCGGTTCATTTCCTCTTACTGTGCCATAAACAAGGCGTCGAACACGCTCACTGTTCACGCCACGTTCCCAACAGACTTGAACCAAACTGCGAAAGCACCTATGTTCGAACGTACCTAGCCACTTTACGTCTGCAGATCTAATGGGCCAGCTTTCATGACTGTACAGTAGGAAGTACGGCTGCATCGCAAACTCTACACTACCAGGAGAGAGGGATATCGCGCCGGCGAAGATTAGCAAAAGCACCTCAAGCTTTTGCTATACGGTTCGTGACCTCCTTTCCGATTCCATACGCACTGATACAACTGGCTAGGTAACTGAATTTTTGAACGACTTCCAGCTGATCCTCACCAAGAGTCAGCGCAGGATGCGGTCCCTGCCAATCTTGAAGAAAAGCTTTGCACCATGAGGGTACGAAACAAATCCCGAAACGGCAGACAGCTAGTCTCATCAGCCCAGTACTGCTGGCCACGTTTGTAAACGGTCATAGATAAAAGCAATATCGTCAGCGTACTCCAGGTCAGGATCTAGCCACCACCAGCCTCAGCGCACCATAGGCTCTCCCGCCATATATATAATACTGAATACTGTATTATAGAGCAAGTAGAAATGGATTCTGTACAACTCTTTCGAGATATGGCGAAAAACGTTATAAAAGTTGTCAACCTTGAATATCATTGTCGTTCTCATGTAATATTTAAAATATTCGACTTACGATATTTCAGGATTCACAAATGTGATGTCATCGTAAGTGTGCAGTCGTTCTCTGAATCGAATAGAGGCAAAATGCAAATCTAACAACGTTTTGAACTGTTGCACAGATGTTGCCTCAATCACATGTTCGGGCAAACTATTCCAAATGTTTACCACTCTCCGTTCGAAGCACAGTGGGTGGGGAACACGTTTCATATCCGGCACAACAAGTTTGTATCTGTGTCCGCGTGTGCTGCATGGCCCTCGTAAGTGCAGCATTGGCCTTAACATGGGGAACTCACCGAGATGTAGAATTCGGTAGGTCATAATGAGGTCGACTCGCACCCGACGGTAGGACAAGGTGTAGAGTCCTAGTTTCTCGCACCGGTCTTCATACCCAAAGCCACGTAAACTCGAGATGAGCCTGGTAGCAACGTGTTGGACCCGTTCGATCTTTTGTGCCTCGCCTCGGGTAATCGGAAAGTAGGCGGGCGAACCGTACTCTAGCATTGGTCTAATGATAGAAGAGAACAGGCGAGTGGCAACCTCTTCAGACCATGTGCAGAAGCTACGTTTGAGCGCCCAAAGCATGCGCAGTCCGTTCCGATATAGCCTGTTCGTGTTGTCCACGGACTTCAAATCGTAGCGTGAGAGTACACCTAGGTCCTTCACGGAGGGTGTGGGATATAGCGTTTGGCCGTCAAGGGTGTAGGTTCGGCCGTCTGCACCCTTCCTCAGGCTCATAAATACCGACTTGGCTGGGTTGACCGGGAGAAGAACTTCTGCAGACCATGTGGATAAGCGGTTGAGATCTTGCTGAAGTAGGCCACAGTCATCGGGAGCGTCGATTTCTCTCCAAATCTTCATGTCGTCCGCAAACAAGGCACACGGCGACCGGAGAAGCTGCGGTAGATCGTTGATGTGGATCAGGAACAGAGTGGGCCCCAGCACAGTGCCTTGAGGCACGCCACTTGTATATATATATATATATATATATATATATATATATATATTGTTGTGTCCAGCTCACACTTAAGTTTGCATAAACGCATGTACATACGTTGCATTCGAACTGCCATTGGACAAAGATGACGCCAATCTATGTATATATGTATACCGAATGAATTCCACGAGGATCTTCATACCGCTTTTGTACGGTTAACTTGGTGCAGTAGAACGACATTCGAGCAAACCGAAAATAATATTACCAGAACATGAGGAAGGTGAGTTTATGACAAACTCATGTTGATTTCAGGTGTTGCGAATCCAAGGCAAATTTGATCGATGCGAATTCCGTGAACTACTCAAAATGGCGGTTTCTCAGGTGCCGGAGAAGGCACAATTGTACGCGGAATAGAAGCACCATGAGTATGTTCCCATTCAATTTACTAATCCAGGCCAATAAGGCAGCGTATGTGGTACGTTTGCCTGCGTGATGAATAATCTTGCATTTCAGAAGTAGATGTTGCTTGAGCTCCCCTGTGTGGATGCGCCTGATGTGAATGTTGACAAGGTGCCTACCTGTCTATTACCCACTACCTCGTCCATACTGGCTCCAGGAGACAGTTGGTCGTCGCTGGAGGGGACGGAGTGCACCGTCCTCGTGACGGTGCTAGGCTCAAAGAGTGGTTCCATGCAACCTGTGTGGAACGGGCTACGGTCCAGCCACCGCCTCGTGTACGTTTGATGTGTATGAATTCCCAATTAGGCTGGAATGCTTCCGTTCTGCTTGTTGAAGGAGTGTGGGCCGGCTCCGTTGATGAAACGTGGCTCCCATTCGCATGCCTCCCGGTCTTATTCCTTCGGGTTTACACCGGATATGGGGTGTGTGGATGGAACTATGGGTGGTGCAGCGCAAGCCACCCATGGTCCCTCTGTAGGCGCAGGCGTCCTGTGACTGTCCCCATGGACATCACAGTGACAGGCAAATCCGGATACGGATGCCGCCTAATCATATATATGTATATATATATATATATATATATATATGGCAACGACTAACGTAAATAACTTACTAGATGTGATATAGTGCCGCTCACTATATATATATATATATATATTATATATATATATATATATATATATATATATATATATATATATATATATATATATAGTGAGCGGCACTATATCACATCTAGTAAGTTATTTACGTTAGTCGTTGCCATCCCCCGTTGCTCAGTGGTCTCAACCCCGGACTAGCAACATTAGAGTTGCGGGTTCGAGCCCTACCAGGGTCCGATGGAATGCGCACTGCTGACGATTTCCGAAAGGATGAAACGCACATACAGTGCTTTTCCGGGCGTGTGATGGCTGTCTGAGTGAGTCTAAATGTGACGAATTCCCACCTTTATCATTCAACTCCCCCTACTACTCCTCTGTATTCGTTTACTTGTCTGGTTTTGGTTTGTTCTCTGAGCTGAGTAATTGTGCTGCAGACGTTCCGTCCCCAGTCGTGGTGATATCGTCAGTGCCACAATGTCTCACACTTCCATCCATCAAGAGCCGAAGACGAACTCAACGAGTTTGTATGCTAAGCAGTGAGACGATATCACCTCGACTGTGTACGAAACGTCTGCAGCATAATTGCTCAGCTTGGAGAACAAACGGAAACCAGATCAATCAACCCGATTCCTCTACTTGATACGGTCATTAATTCATAAAACTTTCTCCTGAGCCAGTATATGTCTGTGTGCATGCTAGTGGAGTATATAAGGGGCATGATTCTACTATGCATCAAAAACATACTGCTTGAGTTTGAGGGGATAGCGTGCAAACAGGTCAACGGGTTCGGTATGGGCAATATGGTCCTATGTTCCTCGGTTCGATAGTGAAACAAGCTGCTGTCAGCGTTGTTGAAGCGAAATTTTACAGACGGTATGTAGCTGACATTTTAGTCTTCACCAGCGGAGAACATTTTACGAGGCTGTTGACGGTACTGATTTCGAATCACCCAACCTATCGGTATCCCATGAAATGGGACAACACGGTTACTTGTAGTTTTTGGAAATACTCATTAGGTACTGTGCAGCGCACCGTCCATCGCAAATAGACTTGGAGTGAATGGTACATTCAATTTTCCGGTCACATATAAACGCGGCTAAGTTAAAACTCTCTTTTGCTGAGCTAGACGTATCTGAAGCTCTGAAGTGTTAAAAGCTGAAGAAAATTTACGGAAGACCTTAATTCCCACTGGGCATCGTAGGAAGTTCAGTCAAACACATAACAGGCGTATTAGCTGGAAAAAAAACGGTGCTGACGGCAGGGAAATAGAATGTGTATTTGTTCTTACCGTTCAATAGGGACCATGTGGCAAATGATATCGGATGCAAGCTTCGGTCCACCCTAACGCGCACCTACACGACCGCCTAGTTGCGATCCGTACATACCACGCGAAGCCTTGCTCTTCATAACCGTCAGGACATCGCGTCCGATAGTGCGACCTCTCACATTGTTTATCAGTTCACTTGTAGCTGCAGTGAGATTTACATAGGCAGAACTGACCGTCCGTTAGCTCAGAGGGTAGTTGGAATAAGTGATGAAGCAACAGAACGGAGCGGATCTGAGGAATAATCGGAGCCCGGGAACATCTATCATCAAGCACATCATGGCAACTCGTCATCATGTGAACCCGAAGAAAGAGTTTAAAGTGTTATTGTTCGAGTCGGCCGAGTGGTCTGCACGTTTGCTTTGCAACCATAAAGTCACCGGTTCGAATCCGCGTAGGGGTGGGCGTCCTCGCGTTATACTCAGCCCGCGCGCGACTGGTGGTG